TAATTACTAAAATATCACGTGAATTACGTTAACTCTACCGATCGGTTTTATATTTGACATGTAATTTATTTTCTTACTTATTTTATTTAAAAACTTATTTCTTTAATATTTGATGACTTTATCTGTTAATGTAAGATCTTTTTTATTTTTGAAATTTTTTTATTGATCAGATGATGTAAACGTGTACTAAATTTGAACAGACCAGCAGGATTAATATAAAATAAGAAATCATAAGAAAATAAAAATAATTAGGAAGATATATAGATTGCACATTTTATATTTATATATGCATATAAAAAATGAAATATTTTTGTTTATCTGATTTGAAAGTTCGATTAAAACGTTGCATCAGCGCAGTTGATATAATTATGTAACGCTAATGAACATTGCCCGCAATGATCAGTAAACAGATCCGTTTTTAGAATTGTGCAAGACAAGATATGTGATAACATTTTTTGCGATTTGTTTCAAAGTAAAACGCATTCGGCGTTTATAAAAATCTGCGTTATTCCGATCGCGAAAGAATTTCTTACAATGAGACTGACTTATTATGTAGTCCTGCGAGGCCCTCAGGGGAAAAACGGTGTTACAAAGGAATATTGTACCCCGTCACGTATGTGACGTATCGATCGAGCTTCTCACCATGGTGAGTGTGCCAGTGCACGCGTGTTAAAGTGCGCAACCGGGTATGCATTTCGTGTAGGTACATACACATGTGAGTAATTACACACAACCCACAGCATATGTCACGCGCATTTGCCTTATCACCGTCAGAAATTGAAACAAGCTTCGAGGTACGTTTTCTTTGAAATATTCGTATTTGCGATTCTCGTCGATGATGATGTAACGATCGCGAGAAAGAAGAAAGAATTTCTCCGCCCAATAAAGAATCTTCGTTAAATGACATGACACGTAAACGTTTAATTTATTTGTCTACATTCTAAAAAAATATTAGTGTGGATTTAACATCATGGGTTTTAAATCCACACCATGATGTAATTGATTTAAAATTCATGGTGTTAATATTGACAACGCGTTGAGAATTGTATACTAGATGGTTAAATTCACACCGATATTTTGAGCAATAAATACTGAAAACAGACGCGTTTACTTTTAGCGCGTGCTGATGAGAATTGTAGATCGCATTCAGCGTCAAATGTGTGATACGTCTCTGACAACATTTTTATCTCGTGTATATGTTGTACATATGATTTTGCATTGAAAACATGTGTAATAGCGGACATGTGACTGGTGAATGAGCTTGTGACAGAATGAACCCCAGTTCATGAATAGATTATTATGATTTTACGTTGACACTCCCCTTTGCAACGAATGCGTCATACTCTGTGAAACTGTCCAGTGGTCATTCTTGATTATGATTGGATATCTTTTACAATATATATTAATTTGATGTAAAAGATTTGCACCAACATTTATCATGAGATGTTAACTCATTAAATATATGATTAAAAATTAAATTATTAAAGTAATTTTTATTAAGCAATTTTTTTTTTTTTTAATTTTTATTAAAAGTAATTTCTGCTGATTGTAATAATAGGCTTTTTCATTTAAAAAAAAATCGATCTTTTGAAAAAAAAAAACTCTACTTCAAAATCTTTAAATTGGATTCAATAAAAATTTTTTTTATACATTACCAATCTAATACGCGAAAAATATTATAGTATTTTTTTTACATTTGTGTATTTTTAAATAAATAAAAATAAAAATTAATTTTTGTATAATAAAAAAAACATTAAAATTAAAATTTTAATTATAGTTTTATAATTAATTAACTTTTACGTTTATACCAATTGAATCGTGAAAGAATTGGACAGTAATAGGATCTCTTCGCCATCAGTGTTTGTGCGGTTCGAGATAATGAAAGGAGTCAATCAACTCTCGCTGGCGCAGAACTAGTTAACCGATGTTACTAACGATTTCATTTCTACACTCTCAGCGAGCGCTTAACTGAACTTTACAGGACTAACCGCTTGTTTGAAGACTTCGTCGATCAATTGCATGATAATGGCGGTGTACGTAATTAGGTATCGGAAATCCACACCTAATCATGGATTCAATTGTCTTCAGATCAGATGGTTTAATCTTGGGAAACGAAGGTAGTATATCGTGTTAATATCCATAAATGCATAGTTATTAAAAGTATATAAAATGTATAATTATGAAAAAATATTTTATTTGCTTCATGATGAATGCAATTCTTAAAGTTCAATAAAGTTCAACATTTCCTTGTTAATTACTACAACATAATTTTTTTATAAAAGCAGATGTAAATATAAAAGACAATCGATTTGAATTGCATTTCCAGCCACCTACTTATTTCGTCATATTTTTTCTATAAATCCACTATATTTATTTATTTTAATGTAGAAGTGTATATAAAAATTCAAAACAAACAGCTCTCTCTCTTTGATAATTCAACAACTTATACACTTAATAATATCTTGACTCATAGATAGTTTCAGAATAATAAAAAATATTAAATTTCTTATTTAAAAAATATTAGTATTTATTAAC